TCTTAAGGAAAATTAGTGGACCAGGGAATGATCATCAACACTTGCCAAATCATTGGGTGAAAGGTTAAGTTGAACTTTTCTTTTGTAAGGAAGATTAGCCCTGAGCTAAGATCTGCCACCAATTCTCTTTTTGCTGAGGAAGACTGGCCCTGAGCTAATATTTGTCCCCATCTTCCTCTACTTTATACATGAGATGCCTGCCACAGCATGGCTCAACAAGTGGTGTGTAGGTCTGCACCTGGGATACGAACCGCTGAACCCTGGGCTATCGAAGCACACTGTGAGAGCTTAACTGCTGCACCACTGGGCTGGGCCTGAGTTGAACATTTTAATAAATGGATCAGACAAACATCACCAGAACTCCTTATTCTGCTGTATGTTTCAATTTCAAAGGTAACTTCCAGATAAATTTCTTGTTTTAAAATTTTAAAGATCAAAACTGTCTCTTCTCCAGAAATTACCAAAATAAGAGAAAAATAAGAAACAAAAATCTAACCTCAGTATTTAACAAACCGAGAAATCTCTCCAAGCAGTAGCACAATATATCATAAATGAATGAGTGACTGAATGAATAAATTCCAAATGAAGTAAAAGTTACGCTCAACAACATATTCACCATTAGTGATCTGTTTACAGCCATGCTGAGTATCTAATCTGCCACAGCTGAGATCAATCCTGAGCCCGAATATGGCACTATTTCTCAGGGGCATAGATCAGATTCCTCAAGGCAGGTTGATTATATTAGACCACTAATATTGTGGAAGGAGCAGCACTTTTTTCGTCCTAGAACAGACAGTATATTTTTTTGTCTTCCTGCCTGCAATGTTTCTGACAAAACTACGGAGATCTTAACGACTATGATAAGATTGCATACAGCAGCATTTCTAACCAAAGAAATCATTTGGCAGCAAATGAAGTGTGACAATGGGCCCACACTCTTGGAATTCACAGGGATTGCCATGCTCCCCATCATCTTGAAGCAGCAGCTTAATGCAATGGTGGGATAGTCTTTGGAAGATTCAGCTACAATGTCAGCCAGGTGGCAACACCTCACTTTTGGGGGGACGGGGCAATATCTGCCAAGATGAGATATATGCTCTAAATTAGCATCCGGTTTATGGTGTTATTTTTCTCATAGTCGGAATTCATGGGTGTGAGAAACAAGGGGTGGAAATAAAAATGGCTTCTCTCCCTCATATCCTGGAAATACAGTAGCAAAGTACTTGCTTCCTGTCCCCATGACTTTAGGCTCTGCTGATGTAGAGGTCTTAGTTCCAAAGAGAAGAATACTTCTACCTGGAGACAAAATAATGATGCCAGTAAACTAGAAATGAAAATTGCCACTGGTCACATTGGATTCTTCATGTGCTTGAATCAATAGGTAAAAAAGAGATTACTGTGATTCTGGGTGATCGATCCTGAGTATAAGGAGAATTGGGTTGCACCTCCACAAAGGGTAAGAGGAGAAGGAGTGTTTCATTTATAAACTCAGTGGTAATTATGCTTGCCTTCCCAGGAATTTAGTTGGATATCAAGAGAGATGACACAACCCACTCACCCATGAATATGAATAAAATATGCTTAGTACTCACAACAAACTGGAGACTCCCAGGAGGAGAAGGGCTCATACACAGGTCAGATAAAAAGGAGAAGAAGGGGCACCTAGCATGGGGGAGTTCCCACAAACAGTCTGGAGACTGTAAATAGTTGAAATTTCCACAGGTATGCAAAAACAAAGGACATGTGTGGGGTTCTTTTCCTGGTTACCCGGATGTGGAGCATGCAGGGGATCTGAAAGCTATTATAGTGAAACATCAAAAATGGAGTCAGCCTATTAATTATAAGGACATCCCCTAGAGCATCTCTTAGGAATGTCATGGCCCATGATTAAAGTCAATGAAAAAGTACAACAACCAAGGCAGGTCTAATAATAATTGCCCAGAACATTTAAGAATGAATCTTTCAGGAACCCTACGAGGCAATGAATCACAACCAACTGGGGTACTTGCTAGGCATATAAGAACTATGAAATGAATAATATGGACATTAGTTATAAATGTGAACTATGTAAACTTCCAGAATCTAGGACTATAACAGTTATAAGTACTTCTTCCTCATTTTGATTTGTGTGTGTGTGCATGTGTATGTTCATCCTTTCTCTCATCATCTCATCATAATATGTGTAGTAGTTAACTTTTTATCAATATATCTACATTACAGGAAATCAAAATTAATCAGCTAGGAGCAAAGAAAATCACCTAAGACTAAACGGGATTTATGTCCTCTTCTGGGAAAACAGAACAGTGTGTAATTTTGGGTTGTACATGGGATTTGCATATCGTGTTAGCATGACATTGTTATTGTCTTTATTTGGATACTAAGTATAGTTTCAGGAGATCCATGGTGGGTGCCAGTGCAAAATTGCCAAGGAGTGGAATATAGAGTCTTTTGAATCATGTCAGCTTGCTAGGCTGGGCTATATTTCCCAGAATTCTCTTCCATGTATGTTTCTGGTTAGAGTGGGCCAAAATAAAAATTTCTTTGTGTGAGACTTGGGGTATAGAAGTGAAACAGCAGTGGTTTTTGTAACACACACATGTTGTCATTTATCTGCTAGCTCACCTCATTGGCTTGAAGAGTGGCCAGGTCTGTGACTGTCTACCCTCCCTACAATCCTCCTTCAATTTCTCCAAATCCTGGACTAAGTATGTGCATTTATCTCCATAATAAACTGCTGTGGACTCATGCGTTCCACATGGGTCAGAGACAATAAGAATTGACATGGATTTTAGTCTGTATCATGAACCTCAGCTCATGCTTGTGGGTTCCAGCTTGCTCTTGCCTTCCTGTACTTTTCATCAAATGTGTCCTTTATGATTGTCTTATCTGTGGATTTGAAGTTTTGGCATAAGATAAGATAGACCCCGGTCTAAATGTAAATGCTAACACTATAACATTTCAAAAAGAAGACATAGGAGAAAATCACCAATATGTGGGGGTAGGCAAAGAATCCTTAGGGCAATACTTAGGCAAACTATTTAAAAAATTTTAAATGGACTTTAAAGAAGTTAGTAAAACATCCTGCTCTTTAGAAACCACCAGAGATAAAATGAAAGGCAAGCAAATGCTAGAAGAAAAAACATTGCAATACATATATTTTACAAAAACTTCATTTCAAAAATAAAGAATACTTACAACTCAATAATGAGAGAACCACCCACTAAATAAAACAGGACAAAATATTTCAACAAATAATTCACAAAGAAGATGGATAGAAAATCAGAAGTTATAGAAAAATATCCCATAACATCAGTCATTAAGAAAATGCATTTAAAAAAACTACAATAAGATACCACTAGACATTCACTAGAATGGCTAAAATGAAAGAGTGAGAGTAGAAGAAAAAATCATGGCTGTTGCACATTAAACCAAATTACTTAATTTTTAGACCAGGCTATCCGGTGTTTTTAGGACAATAAGTTTCTTTTAAAGGCTTGTATTTAACCTCTGATTGTACTTACATAATCACTTCCTATCTTATGTATACTACAAAATTCTAAAAGTTCATTATTTAGGCATCCTGATGCCTACAACAGTTATCTTTTCAATCAAAAGAGTTTTAGGCTATGAGAGCTATGAGATCACATAATGACTTCTCTGTTAACTCACATATTCCTTCTATTCTCAAGTGTAATATATGCAAATCTACAAGTAAATAGAATATACATACTTAGAATAATGTAACCGACAAGATGTCAAATCTGTTTTGTATATCTGTAACTGCATAAGATGCCTTCAAATAACTCTTTTGCCAAAAGTTATGTTTAGCAGATTATCATTATAAGTATAGATGTAATAAAAACCATCTGACTTACATAAACATAATAAACTGAATTTGCTGATTGCATTTAAGATTTAAAAGATTTCAATTGTTTTACTTATGAATTTAAGGGGAAAAAAAAATCCAACATCTGATATAAATTCATAAGAGTAAATGGAATTAAATACCCAGGACACAAAATTTTAGAGTACCATCTATCAATCTGTCAATCCAAACCCTGATAGAAATATAGAATGAGAGATTTGTGGGGGGTGAGTGGTTCTAACCTATGGAGAATCAAGTTTAAGGATTACAGTAAACTTCATGACAGAGACTGTAGCAGCAGGGGCAAATTCCCTTTCTACTCTTCTTGTGTTCCTACCGCTGGTCTAATGATAAAATTGACAAAAGACCAGATTAACAGGAGAAAAACCCCAGTTTAACACATACATACGTATTGGAGATTATACAGGAAGGATGCTCAAAGAGTGAACAAAGCAGGCACTATATATATATATCTTTTACACGAAGAAACAGTAAATTTGCGAGGAATGACAAGACAAAGAAACTTAGTTTTGAAGTATGTAATTAGTGAGGAGTTTAAGCAGAGTTTAGCCTTAAGGTAGTAAGTGAGCAAGGTTTACGCAGGCTTCTCAGCCCTGACTCCCCCAGCTCTGGTGATAAGGAGGCAGAGAGAGAGTACCTTTCACATGAGAGGTTATTTCCTGCTTTCAAGGGGAGCAAAGACAGGAGGGTCAGAATACCCTTTTTGCTTCTCAAGTAACATTCGAAATAATCAATATGCTACTGTGGGATATTTTGGGGTGGCCTGCCCTGAGCCCCAACAAGAACATGAAAATAAAAAGAGAGTAGAGGGGAATATTTAAAACATTAAAAAAAACAACAAAAAAGCAACCTAGAATTCCTTATTCAGCAAAATTATCCTTCAACAGTGAAGGAGAAATAAAGACTTTCCATACCTTGGCTTTAAACTCCGTGAGAGAAGAAATCAAGTCATGTGGTCCAAGAAAACCCCAGTGCATAGAATTATATCCAATGCATAATTTGGTCTAAAAATGTCTTATGGAAGGAAGAGATTAGGCAAAGTGAAAAGGAAGGAAGGGAAGAAGGAAAAAAAGAAGAGATGGAGGGAGAGAGAAAGGGAATGAAAATAATGTACCATGTAAACCAGCTCTCGAAACTCTACTTTGTTTCAGCCGTTTGGGAGTCATCAGCTGGAGATCAGAGGATGAAAGAAGAGATGTTAAGATAATTTTTCCTTAAGTTTTCTCCCTTCAAGTTCTTAGGTTGGTGGAGGTTCCTCTTTCAAAGCCTCAAATTATTAGCATTGGTCCTTTTCTACACCTAAAGCTCTTACTAGTCCTGTAACACTGCGTCATTGAATTCTTCAGGCCTCAAAGTGGGAACTTCTGCTGTTGCTATGCCCAGAATGCTTCATTATCACTAGCTGATTCTCATTATTCCTGCTCACATCTTGGTACATAGTCTGTTCTATATTATTCCATTTGAGTATGCATTCTGTTTCTATGTTAAGGCTCTAAATAATATTTCATTTCAAGGTTTAAATAGCAATGTATAGCAATAAACAGTTTACTGCTAGAAACATAATAAAAGAATATATGGAGGAAAACTATCAGAAAGAAGGAAACATTGAGATGATAAGAAAGAAAAATTAAAACACAGATACATTTAAAAACTTCTGTAAATCCTCTGAATAAAGCCTAGTGTCTGTAACAAAATAACAATATTAAAAACAATATTAACAAGAATTCTCAATATTCTATGAAGATAAAATAGCTCAAATACTGGCCAAAAATATTAAGGTATCTGGATGAAGATGACTATAGTTAAAATATTCTAACATACTTTTATTAGTGAGGAGAGAGGTTTAAATTTCAGCTTAGCTAATTTAAATATGCATAGAAAAATTCTGAGTTTATTACTAGACATTCTATGTATGAACTAAATAATAGATATAAATATGGAATAAGAAAAAAGAAAACAGACAAGATTAACTCATCTCAAAAATGAAAGGAGGAGGGCCGGCCCAGTGGTGCAGCTGTTAAGTTCACACGTTCTGCTTTGGCTGCCTAGGGTTCACTGGTTCGGATCCCAGGTGTGCACCTATGCACAGTTTGGCAAGCCATGCTGTGGGAGGTGTCCCATATATAAAGTAGAGGAAGATGGGCACGGATGTTAGCTCAGGGCCAGTCTTCCTCTAAAAAGAAAAAAATGAAAGGAGGAGCAAAGAAGTGTAGATAAAAGACAACAAGTAAGCCAGGCACAAAAAGACAAATACTGCATAATTCCACTTTTATGAGGTATCTATAAAGTCATCCAATTCATAGTTTCAAAGAGTGGAATGGTTGTTGCCAGGGACAGGGCGAGAGAGAAATGCGGGGTCATTAATCAATGGGCATAAAGTTTCAGTTAATCACGATGGCAAAGTTCTAGAGATCTGCTTACAACATTTCACTTATCATCGGTGATACTGTATTGTACACCGAAAAGTTTGTTAACAGGGTAGATCTCATATTAAGTATTCTTACCAGAATGAAATAAAATTTTGAAAGTTATAAATTACCTAAACCGTTATAAAGCAAAATAGAAATGATTCAATAAATTCACTATATGTTAAAGAAAACAGAGCAGAACTTAAAATCACCTCAGACTGAAAATGCCAGTTATGGATAATATGAACTGGGTCGTTTGTGGAAAAGTGGCACAGAGGGTGGGACATGTTACTTTTCTTTTTCTTTTTTCTGACAACATCGACAGAGTCAGAGGCCAAAAATGATAAAAGGAGTGTAGAAAGCACCTTGTAAAAAATAGAAGCTTTTTTTGGACAGGAGATATCACAGATATAAAGAAATGGACAAGAATTTATGGAATGTAGTTATGGATTCAGTCAAATGGGCGAATGTACCCAAGAGGAATATGGTTTATCTTTATTATATCCTCAACAACCTCACTTCCTGTGTCCTCTTTATTTTTCTGGAAACCAGACTAGACACAGGGAACATTTATACTCAGGGGGCTGGAAAGGTGACAGTCTTCATTTTCTTAGGCAGTTGGCAAAGGGGCAGCATGTCCATTTCAGTAGAAGCAATCACAGAGAAGATGAAATTCTTAGAAAGTCTCACTACTAAATCTTATATGAAATAAGCATTCCATGACTCTTGGCCAACATTGATGCTTAACCTAGGGTCGCACAGTTCTCTCAGTTAATCACCTTTTAGGCTCAGTTTTAGAGTTAAGGCAGGGTCTCTAAAGACAGAGGCAGTGGACGATGTCTAAACTCTAGCTGTGGGACTCATAAAACACATAAATTTTATTTCACACACCAAGGCTGGAAACCTTTACACAATTCAGGGAGAGCAAATGTCTCTTACTTACAGAAATGAGAACTTAACTAGCCCAGCTATTCTTGGGCAGTTTGTCTATCTACCAGTTTGGTGACATAACCAGAGACATGACTGCAGTTTCAGGCAGTGCTTATTCCAACTTTTGTTTATCACCCTATTCCTCTGAAGTATTTAAAGTATCCAGGAATTGTTTATATAGGTCGTGCAGATAAGTCAAAATCCTATATGGCAGAAAATTTAAATTCTTCTCATTTATTTTTTCCCCTTGTTTATTACACCTGCCTCATTCCAAAGTGAATTTGCAGCAGCAATATATTGTTTAGTTACTAGATTTTAAGTGATGAATGACAATTTAGCTACAAAGGAATGAATGATAAGCACTTTCCGCTATATATGCACCCATAAATAATTGTTTGTAATCCGTTTTGAATTAATAAAATGAAACGAGCACTTTTAAAGAGGATAAACAATCCTATTTTTATCATCTTTTAAACATAGATTATGATTTTTTAAATATCGCCTTTATATATACAAATAAAATTGAGTCAAAATTATGTTGTCTGCAATAACAAATATCCACAATGACATTACTTTTTACAGTGCATTTCAGTGTATGAGATTTTGAGAAATATAAATTTTTCTGAAAGACTATAAAGAGATAAATAAGTATTTTAGTGGGACATGTTTCCTACAATATTACTTCCTTAAGGTTTCATGTTTCTTTACCTAATATACTATTTATTAAAAAATGTTTAAAAACTGTTTTGAATGTTTTGTTCTTGTCATAAATATAAAACTAACTACTATTTTGTTTCATTATTGTCAAAATTAATTATTATATTTATTGTCATGACGCTGTGGAAAATTGAAGTAAGTGGAGCCATTATAACATACAGCCGGAGCAGCCATTGCACAGGACCCGCCTCACTCGTCTTGTTCTTTAAACCTTGGACTGGGCCAAACCTTTGGACTTGGCCAAAATGGCAATTGTTTTACAAGCAGTTGCTAGAGAAATGAGCAGGAGACGGGCCATCCTCATCACAAGACAGTTGTTTGTGGACTTTCTGAAGATAGAATCAGTAACTAATCACGTACGACCAAGAGTAGCTTAGCTTGTCAGTACCAAAGAACTCTTCTTAAAAACATCTTGGATAAAGAGAACAGATTAGTGATTACCAGAGGGGAAGAGGGTTGCGGGGTGGGGAAAAGTGGCAAAGGGACACATACGTAGGGTGACATATAAAAATTAGACTACTGGCGGTGAGCAGGATGAAGTGTATTCAGAAATTGATAATAATGTACATCTGAAATTACACAAAGTTATAAACGATTATCTCAATAAAATTACTGGAAAAAAATTCTAAAAGTATTAACCATTCAAATTCTTCAGTATATTTAAAGAATAATAAACCACAACCAGTAAGATCTATTTCCAAGAACAAAGAATGGCTCAACAACCAAAAACACCATAAAAACATCTTACCTCACCTTCCTCCTCTTTTCCATAAAAAACTGAGCCCTTCTCCTGTAATTGGGACACTATTCGAGTTTCTCCCTGAATCTGGGATCTCTGAATTGCAATTCTTTGATCGCAAATAAATGCTTTGCCTCTTAAACTGGTTTCTGTTTTTCTGGGTTGACAATGCAGTTGAAATTTTTGTCATATTACACTTACCATGGTGTCTTAAGATCTAGTGGTTGGCTTTTCAATTTCACAAACTCAGTTTTATCTCTTCAGCCAGAATTATCCATCTCTAGAGGAAGGATACATCAGAAAGGCAATTTGTCTACTTACAATACGTTGCAAATATCCTCTGATCACTAGAATAGAGAGGCAGTAAATTTATGATCCCAAAAAGTAGCGTAAGCAAAAAGATAGTTTAGTATTCATAGAGAGGAAGAAATAAATGTGATTTATCTTTAGGTGAATTTCCATCACTTATCTTCCTCTGGTGAACTTCCCTTCTCTATTTCAGAAATGAGTCTGTTGCCTGAAGAACATACTTGCGGGTTTAAGCTTTCAGAAAAACCTTATTTAAGACAGAAAGACTAGTACATGATTTTTAGATTTCATAGACTGATAGTTAAAAAGCCCATTGTTTTTCTCTGTGTAGGGGTAAAAACCATATTAGAGTTTTCAAGATTATATATTATTTTGCTTTAGCTATAGTTAGATGTGTAATTCTATTTTAGGAAAGCAGCCTGATTCACTAAAAAAAAAAAAAAAAAACCACAAACCACCGTTAAAGGCGTATTAATTTTGGAAACATCTCCCATCCCCATTTTTAAAGTAAATCCTAGTTATTGTATCAAAAGTGGCAATACCTAAACTTACATTCATACTCTGGAGCTTTGTTGTGTCTGGGATTTAAAATCAATTGTGATTTAACTGCACACATATTTACTTGATCTTTTAACTTTTCAAAGAGACAGACAAAATTTTCGCAGGTTAACAATACATTGTAAAATTACTGTTTGTCTTAAGGCAAGCAGCTTGCCTCAATTTACGTCTGGTATATTACTATCAAGACCAATAGATTTCTGTAAGCCATTAATGTGGTGAATAAGACCTGTAGTTAGATGAGCAAAATGAAATGAAATGCAGCGTCTAAGGGCTTCGTCATGGCTTTGGTGATGGGTAAATTAATTAGGTTGAGTGGGGTGATTATTTCACAATGTGTATGTTTATCAAAACATCAAGTTGTATACTTGTACTCCTTGAATATATGCAGTTTTTATTTATCACTTTTACCTCAATAGAGATGGGAGGAAAGTATAGAATATCTTTAGAATAGTCATAGAAGGCATTCTTATGGAATATCTCCCTTTGGTAACGGTTCAGATATATATAAAATACTTAATTGGTATAAACTACCAATTGATGGCAACCAGTGTTTTCAAACCAAATAGTGTAGAATTGAGCAGTAGAGAATTTCAAATTAATATTGAATATTTACAATGCCTTCTTTCTGTGCAGACATGTTTTCTTAAAGAAAATCCAAATATTTTACTCAGCTATAGGTTTATTTGTTTCCACAGCTAGGACACTG